GGAGGACGAAACAATACAAAGTCGCGTCAAAAACGTGTCAGTGCTGGAACAGGAGGTTTGTGTCACAAATGATGAACTCAAAACAAAGGACGCCTTTATTCTGTCGTCAGTAAGTACTTGAATAACAAAGGAGTGAAAATGTCCATTGAATAGAAATTGTTACACATGTCATATCCGGCATCGTTAAGTATTTCACTCAGAATATACATCTTACTGTTGCTTCTCACTTTTCTTTTAATTCCAGATCTGAAACCCCCACCCCCTGTACCCACTGCGTAATTCTGATCACTATCTGACACTGAAGACTGAGTTGACCAATTAACTAAACTTTATGATTTCGAATTCTCCTTGTCATCTCGGCATATTTTGTGTTGAAAGATCCATAATATTCTATTCATTTCGTATGTTATCAATCTGAAATTTACGCCAAAAACCACCAATCACATCTAATTCTTCAACTTAATTCCTTGCGTCCGTTATAAAACTGGATGATGACCAAACGTTTATCAATACAAATCAAACTAAAACATTCAAGAAGGTGGTCGGGTGGCGCAGCGGTAACGCACCCGCCTTTCACCTGGTCACCTTTCACGGGGTTTACTTCCCGGAACACACGTGTCCGGTATGATAAAACGATAAGTTAATTAATGACATAATCATAAATGAGTGTTTTCAATATTGGCCTCAGGCCAATAAGGCAGACGACCACACAACACACACGCACAAAAATCACATGACTTTCAATTCAAGCAATGAGCAATGTGCGCATATGAGCAAATGGACTTGTGATATATATGGAGCATCTTGTCCAATTGTTTCTCGATCTCATAGTTATTATACAAAATGTAACGATACCACACTTAACATTCGCTTTGATATAGTATTTATTATAAATGATTAACATTGTTATGCATCATTACCATGGCGAACTTGTTAGACTTGTTCATTCAACAGAAAACAACCAACTCTATATATGAATTGAAAATGGCCGTATACATTACGATGTACATACACAACAAAATTCAATAAATGTGCATATACAAAACTTTCGTGTAAATATCTTTTTGAGAAACAGTCACAGATGGGGTATGAAAAACTCCATACAACAATAACGTTACATACAAAACATTGTTGTAAATATTGTTGAAACACAATAAATATGACCTAATGGCGGTTCAAATTATCCACTAATTAAGCTTATACCTTGTAAAAGGTGGGCTGTAGGCGAGGTCGTGGAAAAAGAAATTTAGATTCCAATGTAAAATGTACATTATGATATAAGTAGAGTGTGCAACCTTTGTTCCTCCATGATGTCCGCAGGCCTGTGACACTCGACCAGTGTGTACTTTCTTATTTCTTTCACATTTCACATTTCTTCTGGAACATTAATAAATTACATTAAACAAAGTTTAATATGTATTTACATTTCTGTAGTGAAATAAAGGATTTACTGTGAAAATATCAGATTACAAGTTTTGATATTTTCACGTATTTTGACCAATCAGATTACAGCGTTTGCAGTGAAAATGCCGATTTCCACAGAATGCATTGCGGACTTTGGACTTCCGGAACGACAATTCAGGTAGAAATAGGAACAGACGGGATTTTTTCTCCTTTAGAGTGCGCTCATTGTATTTTTCGAATCTGCGTAATCTGGCGGAGATTGCAAAAACTACGACAAGCAATCCAGTCGAACCCAAGAAAAGCTTGGAAACTCTCGCTTTAAAATTCTCGCGATTTTAATCTTGGTCAATCTGAATTTGAATAACGTCACACTAACAACAGAAGGCAAGATACATGAATGTGTTTTTGCTGATCTTTGCAACCGAAATTCTTTAATGAAAAAATAATGTTCTATGTATAAAACTTTCTATGATAACCGATACTAGTTTTGATACGTCACAAAGTCACTGGTGAAATGCAAAAATAAGGTTTCCTTTGAATATATATAGCCATATATAATTACAAATCCGATATTACTGCAAGTCATGTTTTTCGGTGACTCAAAACTTTCGCGGTTGCATAAAGTAACAAGGGCTATTGATTCAATTGTCATTAACCAGAGATTCTCTCTATTGATTTTCTTTTCTATTTTTCGCAATGTCTTTCAATCCTCGATAAAAGAACACCTTAAATCCCTTGAAAACAACACTCTTTACATCTATTCGGTAGCTGAATTCCCGAAATACTTGTTCATACACAAGTATCGATGGAATTCAGTCCAGTCCTTGATATGCTGACTGTGGTGATCCCGGAGATACCATCCTTGTCGTCAACCACTATAAACAAGTCCTTTATCGCCTTTCGGATCTGACTGTTCAGAACAGCGTACAAAACCGGGTTTACCAAACAATGTGCCCAAGCAACGTAAAGAAATGCGATGTGCATCCTGGGGTTAACCGCTGACGTTGTCGGGTCAATGATGGACAGCACAGCAAAGGGTAAATACATTAGGCAAAATGTTGTTAGTAAAACCAGAACTAAAGACACAAGACGAACGTCACGTCTTCGTAGCTTGTCCGTGTGGTTTTTAGTGGTCACAGACTTGCTCCGGGTTAAATTCACTTGTTGATTCGTTTTAAACACTTTTGGTAGAATACTCGTATATCCAAAGATCAGTAAAGGAACTGAAGTTATCACAGCGAATCCGGAGAAAAATTTTCCGAAGCTGTCCTTAGCTTTGAATGGATTGCAAAAAAATCTGTTCCGGTCATACGTAAAACTTCCCCAAACTTCGGTCGCCGGAAACAGCAGCATTATCGGGTACACTATCCAGGACAAGCATATCATGATCGCTATGTTTTTCTTGTCGTTGTAGATGTTTAAGTATGTGCTGTATTTGACTATAAGGAAATATCGGTTGATTGCTACGAGATCAAGTCCCAATAACTCGGAAGCTGTTATGGAATATGTGATATACCCCATAGCTTTACAAATGGTCAGGTTCACGTCATCAGTGTAGTTAAAAGACATGGCGGCGATATATGGCAGTGAGATCGCACAAACAAGCGCGTTGTTTATCACCAAATTGAGAACAAACAAAATCACATTTTGTCGATATAGTTTCGCCTTCAAGATTGCGATCAGAATCATCATATTTGCAAGGAAACCCAAAGACCCAATCAATGTGGCGCCTACCTGGTGCAGTGTTCGTGTGGGTACGTCCTCGTGTGATGTTAGGTTGTCCTGGATGCCTAAAATTGTCGTCTGCTCCATTTCGGCAACCTCATTCAAAATAAATCACTCGTATTTGCGCTACATTGAAAGTTATGTACAAAACAATAGTAAATCACGTGATTCTGAGTAGTGACCGCTCAATAAGAAAGACGGTATCATTTCCGTGTATGTATCGCCTGAATGATGTTTTAATGATTTTTGTAAGTATCAGATCCTTTACAAATAAATATTATACGGATACCGCTACTTAAAAACATGTATGGCCTTGTGTATAACATTAAGTTATTTTAGTTTTCTAGCTCCACTCTGACAGTAGGTTATAATATAGAGTTTAAGGCATAAAGTTAATGTTTTTTTTTTTTTTTTTACATGTATAAGATTTTCTAGATATCGGGCATAAGGTATAGGGTTTTACAGGTAAAGAGCAAAAGGAATAAGGTTTAATAGGTATAGGACTAATGATATGAGGTTTTATGAGTATAGGAAATAAGGTATATGGTTTTAATGGTGGAGGAAATAAGGTATAGGGTTTTATAGGTATAGAAAATAAGGTATATGGTTTTAAAGGTGTCGGAAATAAGGTATAGGGTTTTATAGGTATAGGAAATAAGGTATATGGTTTTAAAGGTGTAGGAAATAAGGTATATGGTTTTAAAGGTGCCGGAAATAAGGTATATGGTTTTAAAGGTGTAGGAAATAAGGTATAGGGTTTTAAAGATGTAGGAAATTAGGTATATGGTTTAAAAGGTGCCGGAAATAATGTATAATGTTTTAAAAGTGTAGGAAATAATGTATAGGTTTTAAAGGTATAGGAAATAAGGTATGGGGTTTTAAAGGTATAGGAAATAAGGTATGGGGTTTTAAAGGTATGGTATATACAGGCATAGGGAATATAGGTATAGGTATAAGGTATGGAGTATTACAGGTGTGGGGTATAACGTATAGAGGCTACCGACTTTATTATACGTTTTTAACTTTTCAGTGCTATTGCCTAAAGCTATATAGTACTAACGAGCATGTATGAATGAAGAAAAAAATGCCTTAAGAAGAAATAAGGTTAAATATTAAAACGGTTTACCAATCTAACTTTATACATCCAATTATTATTAGTAGTTTTCTTAAAATAATGTAAACCTTAATTATAGAAATGTCAAAAATAGCTTTGCTGTGTTGTTCTATATTTCGATGTTCATAGGATGTCTTAATCTTTTTTTTTTTTTCACACACGTATTTCTTAACTCCAACAATATATTAAAAGCTGTACAAATCGAGTTTTAAACTACATGCGTAATATATGTTACATCGATCTAACATCTAGTGCTGAATACAAAAATTTCACAACAAGAATACCCACCCTATTTTTATCATATTAGGAGTTGTAACATCCATACTCATCAGGGTCCGATAAAAGTACCGCGTCACTAAATTACTAAACAAACCCACTCCGTATACGTCCTAATGAACTTATCGTGAAAGAAAACATATGGAAAGATGAACGTTCTGTCAACCCCTGTGATTTTTAGTGTCAGGATATTACAATTCTATTACTATCATACTTGGAACATTGTTGCCTTTTTAACTAGTACAAAAAATGGTGGTTTACAAATTTCATGGGAGATAAGTATTTTACTGGTGACGAATGACTATATTATGATTGGTATTTCGTGGCGAGAATTGTGTAGTTTGATTAGTTTTTTTTTTTTTATTTTACAGAATAATTTATTTTTTAAATAATCATATACTTTTACTTAATTTTCTTGTAAACCAGACACGGATCTTTGGTGCGGGTTCGGATCCGGAAGTGGCGTGCGCACAAGTCTTCACTTGAAAGGAGAAAGTTGAAGATGTCGCGGGGCCAGCTATTTGTAGGAAGATTGAATAAAAGAACAACTGTTCGTGACCTAGAAGATGTTTTTGAAGCGTATGGTCGTTTGGCGAGATGTGAAGTGAAATATGGTAGGTAATTTAGACTCAAATTATGTGAAAACGATGGTCTGCAGAGCACGACAATGCAAACAGACAAAGGCCACTGTAAGCGTAATTCCGTCATTATTATACAATCGAAATTCGTAATTTAAGTAATGTGTCGTTGTTATTCGTCAGAACACAATCGTGTATTTGTGCGTTGCATTTATACGTTGTGATCACTAATTTAGGCCAAGCAACAATTATCATTAATTGTGTAATATGTGATACGCAAATTGTTACATAAGGGAAATAACCTCGGACTTCCTGTGGTAATACGTATACACAACGATAGAGATCAGAAACTGTATAGTGTCAATGTCGCATTTTAAAGCTACAACAAATAAATTCAAGCAACTGGTCTTGCTGCGTGTATAAACCAATTTTCTCCGAAAGTACATAATATTTTTAATGAACATTAGTAGAAAACTGAGTTATTTTCAAATTGAACATGCTTACTTAAATGACATAAAATTTCTAACGTTTGCTTTATATATTAATGTGTTTAAGTAATCTATATTTTTGTTTTATAAAAACTGATCATGCCATCTTCAGAATTTCAAAGTCGCAGGTCTTTACTCTAGGAATGTCTGCTGGTTGAAAGTTCAGACAGTGTATTTAAATGCTCCCGACTGTCAGCTGTTTCAGGTTATATATCTCTTGAATGTTGCTGGTTTAGACTGTGCATCCTCGTGTGTCAGTCTTCTTATTGTCACTGGTTCAGTCTGTGGTACTGAGCTTTCTGGTACAGCTGGTTCAGAGTGCTTGTCTCATTTATCTTGATGATTAGCATTTTCAGGTCTAAAGTGCCCTGCTTGTTATTTCTGGCTATGTACTCAGAGTTTTCTGACTGTCACCTGATTCAGACTGTGGGTTCCAGCTGAATGAGTTAACATATATCATTAGTCCTACCTACAGGTCATCTGTTTAAAACTATATCTGGTATAAAAAAACATATTACTGACTGTAGGATTATTAATGACATTTTGTTTTTTAAATTCTAATTCAAGCATTTTGTTTTCTGTTTTACAGGTGCTGAAATGGGTAAGACAGCTTATATGTAATCTGTATAAGGAACAGTGATATACCAGTTTATGCCATAATTACTTAACCTACTAAACCTAAAAACCTAAATCGTTCATTTTATTTATTATCAGTCTTGATCTTCTCATAAAACAACAATTATTTCCTTGTAAATCTTTGATACAATAAACATGTAAAATTTTCCAAATTTTGCCCATTGGATTTTCACAAAATACCAAGGAATAACGCTGGATGTGCATGTTACATTTTATCATTGATGATTATTTGTTTAACCTCTTTTTCAGCTTATGCCTTTGTTGATTTCGAGGATAGAAGGGATGCAGAGGTACGTTAAATTAGCTCAGATAGATAAATACAGAAAACATATCTTTGTAATATTTTAACTTTTTCTACACCTGGTGAAATGGTTGTTTTTAAAATTAAATTGATTTCAATCTTCCTTGATAATTTATTTGGTACTTGTAATTAACTTGTATATGAATGAATATGTTTTCAGTTGAATTACATCTTCATATTCAGAGTTGGTGATTGCATAAGAATTAAAAATTACATTAGTAAATAAATAGAGAAAAACCTATTTAAACATCAAATGCAAAGACTTTAAATATGAAGATGAAAGAAAAAATATTGACTTAATGTAATTAATATAAATTGTTTTATGTTTAACTACAGGCAAAAGACCTTAATATACAATTTTACATTATAAAAATTAAATTAATGCATAATTTAGGGTAAAATGCTAGCAAGAGAGCGAGTCCTGCCATGCCTAGCCTGACCACCAGTACAGAGTGTCACATCCAAGTGCCAACACACATAATCAGAAAAACCTTAGTCCAAAAACCATGTTCCATACCAGTGTCCTCCTGTCGGAGCCGGTCAGCCTATCAGGCAGTCAATTCAGTCGCAAATCCTCGTTTCACCGACTGACCAGTGTGTCCAGTTATATCTTGTGTCCAATCAGTCTGTCTGCCCCGGCTCCTCCTCCGTTATTCCATCCCAAGGTGTAACAAGAGTATGTCACTGCCAGCATTTTTGTGTTCTAGTCTCTTGTGGTTTGGCAATGGTAATGTAGATATTAATGTATTGTTGACAAGTTGTTGTCTGGTCTCTTGTAAACAAATATGAACAGGAACTGAAGATTTGCTATTCATCATGATGATTGTCATAAACCTTTTATCTTGGAATATGCAAATTTTAATGGTATGTAGTAACTGGTTTGATTTTTGAAATGTAACTTGGAATATATGTTGCATTAATTAAGAAAAATACCATAGGATGCTTTCAAAATAAGTGTTTAAGTTATGTTGATATTTAGATTTTCCTCTGTCTCTGTTATTTCAGGATGCGATTAAGTATGAAAATGGTCGGGAGATCTTGGGCTCCAGTATTATTGTTGAACAGGCAAAGGGAAGTTCCAGAAGACCAATGATGAACAGGGTGAGTGCTGTAGACTGTTGATGTTAATACCTGGGTAAAAGAAATCTTTAACTTAAACAGAAAACTTAACAAACAAATGAAATATGAAACAAAATACAACAAGGATTTTGACCAGAGTGTCTCGCAGTATGTCTGCTTGAAGGCTTAATCAAAGGGTTGACTTCAGTAATTTACACAAAGGGTTAGTCGTTTGATCTTTAATTTTGTCCAGGTCATCCTGCCAATCCCTGAGACAAGTAACTTTTGTGTCATGGCTTTTGGTTTCTGAATTAAAACTCACATATTCAATATATCTTCAAAACATGAAATATTTCATGTCAATGATTTTTGTGTTGTAGGGTTATGATGAATGTTATCGCTGTCATCGTTCGGGACATTGGGCCAGGGACTGCCCAGATGACCGGTATAATGGTGGTTTCCGGCGAGGAGGGAGGGGAGGGTCTGGAAGGTACAGATCACCTTCTCCAAGGAGAAGACGAAGGTAAATAATATGAAATAACAGAAATCTCTATTGTTGACGTGCTCGACTACTTTGGTCACGCATTTAGCTCTTGGGTTCATCAACAGCATTGAAATATGTAGATTGGGTTCGTAAACAACATTGAAATCTGTAGAATATTGTGGAAGGATTTATCACATAGCCACTTTATCAACATAATTCAACTTGTCTGAGATCATGAAAAAAATATTGCAGAAGACCACAATCTTAAGTAAAGACTGCTGGAGAAAGCATAACCTTCCTGTTGACTGAATATGTATTTTTATGTGATAATTGATAGAAATATGAAATCCATGAAGAAAATATTGTGAACTGGTGAACTGTCAAGTACAGTAAAAGGTCCAATCCATGTGTCTCTAAAAAGTGAAGTCAACTTGAATAAATATCTGGATACATATTATGATGGACTGGGGGGCGGGGTTGATTCCTTAAGAAGTAGACATACTTCATGTATAACACGGACAGCTGTCAACTTATCAGGCATTAAGTACTAAGTATCAGTAGCAGAGAAAAATATGTAAGCAACAGGTACAGCTATGCTGAGGACAACTTTTGTTTAAAAATTGAATGCAACATTGCTCTAGTGAATATAGATATAAACTCTTTATAAGCTGCAAAACAGGTGTCATACTTTCCCCTTTAGCCCCTTGTTACCAAATTTGATGCAAAATGTTCTTACAGCTGAATTTTGAAAGTAGCAAATCAGATGTTATCTAAATAAATGATTTGTCTCCCACATTGTTCAACATCAGATCCAAAAGTGGTTTTTCTTTTTACTGTTACATTCTACAAAAAAGTTCTGTCACAGTTGGTATCAGTGGAGCAATACAGGCCCATTTGGCCTCATGACAGGGTTAAGATATAAACATCATTTGCTTCAGGTCCAGGAGCAATTCCCGGGACAGACGGAGGAGGAGATCTAGGTCAAGGTCACGGTCCATGAGCAGAAGTCACAGCAGGGACAGGAGGAGAAGGTCAAGGTCACACAGTGATGACAGAAAGCGAAGCAACAGACGAAGGAGCCATTCCAACAGCAGATCCAAGTCTAGAAGTCCTTCAAAGAGCAGGTCTTTGAATTCCAAGTCAAAGAGCAGGAGCCCTGCTGCAGCAAATGGTGAAAGCAGGAGACAATCTAAATCTTACTCACGATCAAGGTCGAGGTCAAGGTCAAAAAGTGCCTCGGACTGAGCCTTGCAAGTAAAAGTAAATTAACTTTACCTTAAAATAAGTAGATGAACTTGACCTCGAAACATACCATACTTTGATTACTGAAAATAGGTTGGTGTGTTATGATGTTAATTCATTAACATAACTATGCTATGGAAAGCAACAGTTTAAACCTCCAAAGTTAAAACTTGTTCTAACACCAAGAGTTTTTATCATCAGTTTTACAGTTTAGTGAATTCTTACAAGTCTTTACATTCTTAATGGATGCATTGTCATTTCATTTTCATTTTGTCATTGTAAATTATGTCATTTATGTATTATTAAATGAATGATGTCTATGGTATTTTGTTTTTTTGAGTTTTTTTTATGGTCCACAAAAATTGTCAGGGAAGTACAATCGTCACTTGTCTGTCCGTCTGTCCATCCTTTTGCAAAGCATAAATTTGCCCACTGTTAAGCAAGGATCATGAAACTAGTTGTAAACATTGATCTTACAAAGATGATGTGCAGTGTTCCAAATTCAGGACCCGTAACCATTTAAATACAGAGTTGTTGCCATTTGTTAAAATTTTGTGTCTAGAGCAAAAATTCAATTGATTTGCATTACTAGAACAATGAAACATGGAGGATACATTGATCAGGTATCATGATCTGTGCGCTGTGTACAAAGTCCAGGGCCCTTGACCCCTCAGTTATTGCTCTTCGTTAAGAATTTCTTGTGAGGAGCATAACTTTGCCAACAGTTAAGCAAGGATCATGAAAGTTGAGAAGTGAAGCATACATCAGTCATACCAAACAAAGGAAAAGTGTAGCAAATTCAGGGCTCATGACTCCTCAATACAGTGTTGCTGTCCTTTGTTGAAATATCTGTCATGAACATAGCTTTGCTTGCATTAAAACTAGGAGCATAAAACTCATATTAAGAGAATGTTGCTTTATACCAAACTCGGAGCCTACAACACCTTAATTACAGAATTATTTCCCTTTGATAAAATTTCTGTCACCATTAAAGTCATTTTTCGATGAGCAGTGATCAGTTTCACTGATACTCTTGACCTGTTTTTGTATTTTTACCATGCTCCTCTAACTATTGACTAAACTTTACAAATGCTAACTTAATGCTCCATTTTGATCAAAGTAATGTTTGGTGTCATACCAAAAATTAGACAAGGAGCTGGAGTTACTTTAAAGAATATGAAATTTTATAAATAGGGAACAAATACATAAGGTTTTTCATGCACCAATTTACCAGTGACGTGCTTCACACAAGGAATGTCACAGACAGCAGAATAAAACCTGTAAGTTATCATCATGGCACACGTATGATTTTACAAGTCAAACATTTGGTTGTGTGATGAATTGAAGATCTAAAAGCCCCAGGGTAAAAAAAAATCTTAAGTTAAGCACGTGGCTTTGCCTTATTAAGTTGTGAAACATATGCCACATATCACTTTAATCCAAGCTTAACTATTGTTGAATATCCATGAATGAAATTTGACACAAAAGGTCAAAGCTGATTTCCGAAGACTTTGCAAGTGCTAACATGATGTCCACCTGAATACAAAACTTATTTTCAAAACATGATAAAAGTACATGACTACTGTCCCACGTAGGCCTCCAACCCACACCCTAATTTCCCTTAGTTACTACCCTTCGTTTCTCTCTTTATCGCTAGAGCAATTACACTTGATTACGGGGCTGAGAAAGCAAGAACCTGCATCCAAGACGTGGAGGGCTGGTGATGAAGATAGCTAGATACCTTACCCACTCGGCAAACGCAGCCCCTTGACTGAAAATTTGCCACTAAAATTACATAATTCAATGGGATAATTCACATTTATTATGTTAAAATTTATATTGTTTGTTTATTAAATATATATTACATTTTTATTGACTATGCTCCTTTAAGAGACAACGAAGATGGCCATGAAAGTGGTAGAAACACATTCACCTAGGATGCGGTGAGTTAAAACACGATGTACACAGAAACAGCCCGTGTCCATATGGGTCTTTCAAAATGTTTGTGGAGGGGTAGAGGGTTGTGGAGTATACCATAATTATGCTCTTATGGTAGTGTCAGGTTCTCTAATGAGGCTGACGGGTTTAATAATTAATATTTAACACCTCTAACTTCATATTCCTTTAGTCTGAAAGGAATGTGATATTAGCGTTCCTTGAGTTTGAATAGGAAGGCGAGAAATCTGTTCTTACAGAAGAGACGTCTTTTACGGGCAAATGATCAAGATTGGTCAAAATCCACATCTCAATCATTCCATTTCTGGAGTAAGCAATACCACCGTAAGACTTAAACTTTAATTTGAATGGTAGTAGAAATCTAACTTGGGAGGGGAGAGGGGGGATGGGGGGGGACCTGACCAAACAGCAGTAAAGTGTTGTTCGTGTGGACTCTGAAGTAAGCTTAGGTCTTTAATGAACTAGAAGTGTCCTCATATGTATATGTAGCTAGACACTGTATCGCTCTCGCCTCAATCTGTCTGGAAAACATAGTTAGAATTAAATCTTATCTTTTCTGAACCTTACAGAGACCAAAGATGGAGAAGCCACGTCTGTAATATTCTACACTATATATACTAGGATCAAAAGTAACAGAGTATTGTGAATGTTTGTCCTTAAAACTTGTAAAATATGAATGTTTCCAGGAAATATTTAAGAAATTGAAATGTAATGGGACAAGATATACACGTATATACTTTCAGAAAGTAAATAAAAATGTTATCTGTAAGTAGTTCTCGGAACTTATTTCATTGGCGTTGGCGTTGTCAATGACGCCCAAGTGGTGTAACCTACTGCTTCCGGTTTAATACATGACCGTTGACGTGTATAACAAATAGATAAGCCACAGTCGAGTGTTTAAGATATAAAAATACTTGTCCCACTTAAGTGTTTCATAGGTAATGATTTTGCCTTCCTTTTGTAAAAAAAAAAATTTATTGAGAATTATTACAAAAGCATTAACAAATTTTGTTTAAAAATATTTTTATTTTTCACTAAATAATCATTTTCTTTTTCCTCGCTTCGAATCTGCAATAAAAAGGAAACCAAATATTAAGGCTTAAGACAAAGTTTGCTGTGTTAAATATTCTTCAGGCATGGATTTGGTACAAACTACCGACCAATGGTCTATATATCGTTATATAGTCACTCTTCATCTACATTTGATATACTCTTCAGATATTAAATAATGTAAACGTTATAACAAAGTTAATATTCCAAGCCAACATTTACAGAGGCTCACTACATCATGAATATTATCTTACTGAAAATATTTTCTCAATTTAAACCAATCGAGTGTTTTGTTATGATCGCTAGTTATTTGTCGCTTAACTTCTCTCTTATGAGTGTGACAAGGCCCATGTGACTGGACAAAGGTTCCAGTTATTCCCCGTGTGCCTTGATATCTCTAGATCCATGACGTCATATGCATTGTGAGGTTGATAATTAGATAAAGAAGTACATGTATATAGTTGGAATTTCGCCAGATTAGATTGTCAATATTATCAGTCGTTGCAAATGTTTACAAAAGCAGATGTAATAATAGTGTGTTACATGTCCTTCCTTTTCATAGGATTTTTTTGAAAATCGTAACGAGTTGACCATTTTATCTCGTCAGGAGCTCACGAGAGATTCAGAGACTCGTATCATCAACCTCATATGAGAGGAAACTGATGTTAAATCGTATCTACATAAATCGGAAAAGTGACCTGTTGGAATCCTATTTCAAATTTTACACTACTAAAAGTTTGAAGTTACCACGCATGCTTTCGACAGTTGTCGAACAGACTCACAAAAGTAATGGATTTTTTATTACCTGTGCGTATAATAACTCACGTGGGCACATAATTAAATAATATACAACTTGTATAGCTACTTTTAATACGTGCGCACGACATAGAATACTATACACTAACTAAAGTTATTACATGTACGTGCGCATGTGTTAGGGAAACATTTCACATTTTTCATTACGTGCTAGCGTAATAGAAAATATAGAATATGTCCCCTCTGTGCTTCCGTGTAACAAGGCTCCGTCAGACCTCCACGTAACAAAGAACCGAAAACAAAGTGAAACAAGGGTTCTGGACTTGATGAGATCGATTCATAGGTAAATGATATCCAGTAATTCCTACATTTATTTGTCAACGTTTGTTCCTAACCGAATACCCAATGACGATACATGAAAACAACTACAAATGCTATAAAACTGGATCTGATACACCAAATCAACTGTATACTGGACCTGATACACCAAATCTTCTGTATACAGGACCTGATACACCAAATCAACTGTATACAGGACCCGATAACCAAATAAACTGTATACAGGACTACTGTATACAGGACCCGATACACGGCATCGACTGTATACAGGACCCGATACACCAAATCAACTGTATACAGGACCTGATACACCAAATCAACTGTATACAGGACCCGACACACCAAATCAACTGTATGCAGGACCCGATTCACCAAATCAACTGTATACAGGACCCGATACACCAAATCAACTGTATACAGGACTCGATACACCAAATCAACTGCATACAGGACCCGATACACCAAATCAACTGTATACAGGACCCGATACACCAAATCAACTGTATACAGGACTCGATACACCAAATCAACTGCATACAGGACCCGATACACCAAATCAACTGTATACAGGACCCGATACACGGAATAAACTGTATAAAGGACCCGATACTCGGAATCAACTGTATACAGGACCCGATACACCAAATCAACTGTATACAGGACCCGATACACCAAATTTTCTATATACAGGACCCGATACACCAAATCTACTGTATACAGGACCCGATACACCAAATCAACTGTATACAGGACCCGACACACCAAATATACTGTATACAGGACCCGATACACCAAATCTTCTGTATACAGGACCCGATACACGGAATAAACTGTATACAGGACCCGATACACCAAATCAACTGTATACAGGACCCGATACACCAAATATACAGTATACAGGACCCGATACACGGAATAAACTGTATACAGGACCCGATACACGGAATCGACTGTATACAGGACCCGATACACCAAATCAACTGTATACAGGACCCGATACACCAAATCAACCGTATACAGGACCCGATACATCAAATCTTCTGTATACAGGACCTGATATACTAAATCTACTGTATACAGGACCCGACACACCAAATATACTGTATACAGGACCCGATACACTAAATATACTGTATACAGGACCCGATACACCAAATATATTGTATACAGGACCCGATATACCAAATCAACTGTATACAGGACCCGATACACCAAATCTTCTGTATACAGGACCCGATACACCAAATCAACTGTATACAGGATCTGATACACCAAATCAACTGTATACAGGACCCAATACACCAAATCAACTGTACACAGGACCCGATACACCAAATCAACTGTATACAGGACCCGATACACCAAATCAACTGTATACAGGATCCGATACACCAAATCAACTGTATACAGGATCCGATACACCAAATCAACAGTATACAGGACCCAATACACCAAATATACTGTATACAGGACCCGATACACCAAATCAACTGTATACAGGATCCGATACACCAAATCAACTGTATACAGGACCCAATACACCAAATATACTGTATACAGGACCCGATACACCAAATCAACTGTATACAGGATCCGATACACCAAATCAACTGTATACAGGACCCAATACACCAAATATACTGTATACAGGACCCGATACACCAAATCAACTGTATACTGGACCCGATACACCAAATCAACTGTATACAGGACCCGATACACCAAATCAACTGTATACAGGACCCGATACACCAAATCAACTGTATACAGGATCTGATACACCAAATCAACTGTATACAGGACCCGATACACCAAATCAACTGTATACAGGACCCGGTACACCAAATCAACTGTATACAGGACCCTATACACCAAATCAACTGTATACAGGACCCGATACACCAAATCAACTGTATACAGGACCCGATACACCAAATCAACTGTATACAGGACCCGATACACCAAATCAACTGTATACAGGACCCCGACATGATTTTGTTTACAAAGACACGTATGAGATAGGTAAAACTACTTACTTTCGCTTTACTCATCATTGTTATCCTTGATGACTCTGATCCTTGTCTTATGTGAACCACAAATTGACTTGATCTCCGTAGGGATGGGCCTCTTATCGACAGGGGGACAACTAGGGACCAGATTCAGTGGTGCTCGAACAGGTAACATTCCAGGTACTTTGATCTTTTCCTCCTCACTTCCCTTACCCCGCCCAATGGTATCCTCCGAGACCTTTTTCTTGTGAGCTGGTCTGCTGCTCATGCAGGGTTTGTTGTCTTTCGCTTGCGCTCGAATCGGTTGCACGTCTCTCTGTGGTTTCATGCAATCTTGAGAATGAACTTTGGGTATATTATAGTTCGACTTCTCGTCTGTGCGTGTCTTTTTCTTTTTAAGAGATGACGGTAAAATATGTTGTAGTTGAGACACCGGAGACAACGTAGGAACCAGTTGTTTTGGTGTAACGTTTTGTGAATGATTCATCGTCTTTTCCAGTGACGCCTTTGTCTGAGACATATGCTGCCCGCACTTGCTCAGTGGTGTCGTCTGTGAAGAACGACATTGTGGAATCAAAGGTCGCTTATTTATAGGAGGGGTTAAAACTACTTTACTAGTTTGTTTTCTTCCTCGATCTGATGAATGGTATCCAGTAATTTTCTTTGAAGCGTTAGTATGATCTGGTTGTTTGGATTTTTGTTTCGTATTTTCAGTTTTTAAATGTTTTTTGCTCGAAGAACGTCTCTCCTTTTGAAGGCACTGCTCTTGCGGCCTCTTCGCTAGCTGGCCATCTTTTAATGACGCCGGTATCATTGCATTTCCAACTTCGGTAAAACAATCTATCTGTGTTGGGATGATATGGGAGCTACTGGATGCCTTATTGATCCTCGGCAGAACTGCATTTGGGTTTATATTTTGTTTACTTATACTTTCTGTCCCTGAATTCTGTGTTTCGACGGAATCACTTTTTTCAATATTATCGACAGCACCTATTGGAGTATTACCATTCTCTATATCCATTTGAGAAAGGCTGTTAGCGATATTTTGCAAAATGTTGTGAACAAAACCAGCAATCTTATCCGATGAGATGGAGGAAACACTTGGACTTTTTTCAGCTCTGTCTTTTGAAGCGTTTTCCCTTGCATGTATTCCGAGCATGTGATCTGTGACAGTAATGATACTCTTAGAATCCAACCCATTCTGCTCAATTTCGCGCCTCTTTTCTTCTAGCATCACAACAATGAAATCTTCAATGGACGCGTCAACTGAGGCAGAGTTGAGAACTTGCTCAGCACCACCATCTAGCATGCTCTGTGAAAGAGCTGTGGCCAGTGTTACAATCTCGTCATCGCTGAGTGTGCCTTCTTTAACTCTATCGATTGTCATATCAATGGAGTGATGGATCGCGCTCGCAATGTTAACCAAAGTAGAGCTCCTCTGAAGCTTCGGTATAGTGCACGAAGACACACCCAGAGAGTTATGACTTCTATGTGTTTCCTCTTCGTGAAATTTAAGCATCCTGTTTGTCATAGAAATCATCTTTTGGAGACTCATAGACGGTCGATCAAGAACTCTGCCTCTCTCTTCACTTGGACTAAGAGACGCTGCACTGACTGTAGACTGAAAGTCTATTTTGATAGGGTCACTCGCAATTTCTGTGAAGGAGTCTACTTGGTATAAATCTGATACCTTTATGTTGTCCACTTCAATGTTGTTGATAATTAGATTGATCGTATTTTCAACGAAGTCGTTTTCAAGTTCGTTTGATCCCGGTTTCACAGAAGATTCCATGATACGCAACACCGCCTCTCTCACAAATGCATCTTGACCCTCTACAACATCTCGTTTTATCTGCACCAATGCATCCAATGTTTTCCGTTTAGAAATCTCTTGTTGAATTTTTGCTGAACATGCACGTTTTGCATCGTTGAAGTCGTCAATGATATCTTGCAGGGTTGCGACGACAATGTTTTCTACCTCCAAGGTCAGAGTGGATGTTTGCTCCTCGACAGTTCCGTCCATAGTTTGTTGATGTGCAACAGCTGTTACTTCGGACGACATGTCATGCACGACTTCTTGCAATACCTGGGCTACAAAGTCGGTGGCTTGCTTGTTATCCATATCAAGAAAAGATGCAACTTTTGATTTGGAATCCTGCGTCTCTAGGTCAATCAATCCACTAGGCTGCCATTGGTGGCCCAGAGCCATCTGATCTTGCATATTCTCAACAATGATTTGAAGTTTTTCCAAAACAAAATCGTGCAAAATTTCAGACGATACGTTGTCAGCTGATAGAGACATTGACCTTTCGAGACGTAGATTAGAAACAATATTGTTAAGTGTGTCCAGTATAAGACCGCCGACCTCATTTGAGGAGTAAGATACGCACTTGTCAGGTTCTTTGTCATAAAGGCTTTGTATGTAGTCATAATCATTGGAGTCTAACCGAACTGGAAGAAGCTCTTCATCCGACGATAACTTTCCTTGCACAACAAGTGTGTGATCAATTCTCGCCATCAAGTTTCTTACGACATTGTGAGCTATGAGAGAAGTGACAGACTGTAAGTGCACATCTGATCTAACATAAAACGAGGTCTCGTGTTGTAGCTGACCGGTCCTAGTTGCACTGCCAATGTCTGACAAAACTCTTTGCAGAGTGACACGAATGAAGTTGGTTAAAATGTTAGAATCAACAACCTGCAGTAGACGTTGAAGTACAGCCACTGGACCAGTACTTGAATCTCTCTTGCTGTTGACAATACATTTTATTACGTCTTTTATAAATATGCTTCTTCCGCCGTGTTTAGCAATGTCGCTAACAGCTTCTTGGCATTGATTCTTTGCCATTTCCATCGTAAGCTCTTCAAGGTTTACCTGTTTTTGCGATTTGAAAAGAGAAAGGAAATTCGACAGGGATTCAATCGACATTGATTCCGATTCTATACTGTGTAGTATTTCTTTAATAATGGCAGATATCAAGTTGACTACATCCTCTGCAACTGCAGGACCTTCCTCTTCGCATGTACTTCCCATCAGAGACAGCAGTTCTGTTTCAGTATAAGCTCCACTTCGTATATCCCGTTCAATTTTCTTTAAAGTTGCACGAATTACAGATTCCGCTAATTGAGATGCCGATGAAAGGGCTGATACATCGTGACTCTCCGGCATTGTACTCCAGTTGGATTTGTAGTGTTCAAGTATCGTAACGAACATTCGCTTTGCTTCTTCTCTGTCTATGGTATCTTCACGAAGACAGTCCAATATTTTGTTCATTGCATGGTCCAATCTTTCCTCATCCCCAGCTTTAGCAAACCCTATAGCTAATGACGCTACTTTGTCGGGATAAAGTTTGCCTTCATTCAAGTCCTTGACGATATTGTCGATTGTTGCAAAGACGACATCTTCTGCCAATCTGGACTCACAAGGGGAAGGGTGAGTATGGCTAGAATTGACTGCCTGTACTAAGCATTCGTCACTCCCCAGCTTCTCTTTGGACACCCTTGTTTTCAGTATGCATACAGCAAACTCTTTTAGTGACTCCGTATTCACCACGCCCTTTTCAATGTCAGGCTGAATAGAAGATAATACATGCGAAACGACATTCTCTGCCACAGCAGTGCTGGTGAAAGATGCTATACGACTCGTTGTTTCCACTGACGCACTAGGGGACGGGCCTAATAGTCGTTCTCCGCATGATCTCAAATGATTGCCAAGTTCATGCATCTCCTCCTCAGTTAATCGACCGTTTTCCACGTCATTCAGTATCGAAGCTAAAGTGTTGATAAGAATGACCTTTTTGTCCGGTACCGGTGTAGGGGCTAACGAATTACCCCGACTTACGTGTTGGAGAAGCTCTGTCATTTCCTCTATATCAGACTCGGAGAAGTTTCCTCGATCAATACTTTTTGATACAAGCTTCAGGATGTCCACTACGAATTGGGTCACGTCGTCAAGGAAGATTTGTTTTGTTTCTCCTTCAGGGTGTTCTTCAGTCTGAAGTGTGTCGACAATGTTCTTGCATGACTCTAATATGACACGTGCCACTTTAGTTAGATTATCAACACCAGCTTCGCTGAGACGACTTTTCGACATTTGTATAATGTGATCAACATCCATGTTCTGCACGTCTGTCTGAATTTGAAGAATATTAGCGATCCTTGTTGTCATCTCGTACACTTGTTGTGAAGATGTTGTTGTTGGCCAAATTTTGGTCGCAATACCGCATAACGCTCCAAAATTCACATCTGAATCATGGACTTCCCCGTTGCCGAGATATATAGAGATACACCGACATGTTTCTGCCACCAGCTCCGAGAAAGCCTGTGTAGACGATTCTCTGAAGGTATGGTATGAGGTAATGATGATGTTAACGACTTTGTAGAGCGTGTCGCTGCTTTCAGATATGACGTCATCGATAACGCGTGCCAGCAGACGCCTGAACATCTCAGGCTGGTTGTCGACACCACCAATGGGGATATCCTCCACAATGTCCGACATTTGTTCAAGAATTTGTGATATCACGCCCATTGGCAAATTGCCAGACTGGAGATCATTGCTCATCTCGTTCAGAGTATTTACAATGAAATCGTCCAGCATGAAGTCGTGCACCGAGGACACCCTGTCGAAACTTTTATCTGAGATGATTTGCTGTATTGTGTCTTCTATGAGTGAGTCCACGACCCCGTCCTCCGTGAAAGACGGAGAATCCATTTCCCAAGCAGACAGTGCCAGTCCTGTCATTTCTTCACTGCTCACTTGACCTGACTTCACTTCGTCTACAATCTTGCTGAGAGTGAAACGCACCAGATCGTTGGCAACAGCAGTCTCGTACACCTCTCCTGTCTCAAGCTCCGATAGGTCGTTATCATTCGATGAGGAATTATCTGTTGAGCTGAGTAATTGCAGCGAGTATGATGTCAGTTTTACCAAGTCTTCTTTTGAAAACTTTTTATCATTAAGATCAACAAGAAGACGATTTAATATTTTTTCTACGATTGCATGTTCGGAGCTTTCCTCGCCTCCGACAGAAGGTGTCATATTCACAGAAGGTACGGGCGTCAGGACGTGTTCCTGGACTGGGCGGAGGTTATCCACATCGATGGACGGGCGTGCATAGGTAGTAATGATTCGCTTTCCAAACTTGACCGCTTTTCCTTGTGATTCTGGACCTGTCATGTATACAGCAGCCATTAAATGCGAAATAAATAATTTTTATAACAAAATAACACGGTGGTGAAACAAGTGTATGATGATATAACACCCCGACGAAATGGATGTTACAACAACATATCAGGCTGGTTAAATGGATGTTATGATAACATAACACGTCGACGAAACAGATGATATTGAAATTCTTGAATATTCTTCAAATGAATTGGGTGTCATGATAACATAACACGGTAGGGAATTGTATGTTATGATAACATAACACGGTAGGGAATTGGGTGTTAAGTTAACATAACACGAAGGGGAATGGGGTGTTATGATAACATTACACGGTAGGAAAGTGGGTGCCATGATAACATAACACGATAGGGAATTGGGTGTTATAATAACATTACACGGTAGTGAATTAGGTGCCATGATACAATAACACGGTAGGGAATTGGGTGTTATGATAACATTACACGGTAGTGAATTGTGTGTTATGATAACATAACACGAAGGAGAATTGTGTGTTATGATAACATAACACGAAGGAGAATTGTGTGTTATGATAACATAACACGAAGGAGAATTGTGTGTTATGATAACATAACACGTTGGGGATTGTGTGTTATGATAACATAACACGTTGGGGATTGTGTGTTATGATAACATAACACGAAGGGGATTGTGTGTTATGATATCATAACATTATTGGGATTGTATGTGTTAACTTCATTGAACACTCAGCCATATATCACAATAACAAAAAATGTACGTTATGAACTGATATCATGTTAGAATAAAACAAAAAAAAAGAAACAAAGATACCAAATACAGAAAGAAGAAAACATGCACGTGACTCACTGGACATTAGGAAATTACACTTAAATAATATACAAAACTAGGATAAATTACCGTCTTGGTTGGCCTGTTCCAGTGACCGTAAGTATTCAGGATAAAGTTCCTAAAACAAGAAATATCGTTTAAAAAGTTATATGCACAGTGTACAAAAATGTGTTGTCTGTACTTTAGAAATCACTGATAGAATAAATCTTTAAAAACAGTATAAGTTCGTCCTTAAGTAAATGTACTCCTACACATCAGGATAATAAGTTACTGTGAAGCGTTTTATTATTGAAAGTTCTAATTTTCAGGGTTTCACCAAAAGCTTGCGGTATAACATATGTTTACAAAGGAAGTAATGTTATATACTGTTATCAGAAGATCTTTATACTTGATTGTAAACCATTAGAACCATAACACCATCCGAAACTGCGACAGGAATAGCTTGTACACTAAATAAGTCGCGTTCTCACTCTTTCGCTGTAGTTATTTCATTCCCTCATCGTCGCGTTCTCTCTCTCGCGCTGTTGTAATCTCACTTTCTCATCATCGCGTTCTCACTCTCTCGCTGTTGTGATCACACTCCCTCGCCGTCGTGTTCTCACTCTCTCGCTGTTGTGATCACACTCCCTCGCCGTCGTGTTCTCACTCTCTCGCTGTTGTGATCACACTCCCTCTCCGTCGTGTTCTCACTCTCTCGCTGTTGTGATCACACTCCCTCGCCGTCGTGTTCTCACTCTCTCGCTGTTGTGATCACACTCCCTCGCCGTCGTGTTCTCACTCTCTCGCTGTTGTGATCACACTCCCTCGCCGTCGTGTTCTCACTCTCTCGCTGTTGTGATCACACTCCCTCGCCGTCGTGTTCTCACTCTCTCGCTGTTGTGATCACACTCCCTTGCTGTCGTGTTCTCACTCTCTCGCTGTTGTAATCTCACTCCCTCGCCGTCGTGTTCTCACTCTCTTGCTGTTGTGTTCTCACTCTCTCGCTGTTGTAATCTCACTCCCTCGCCGTCGTGTTCTCACTCTCTTGCTGTTGTGTTCTCACTCTCGCGCTGTTGTGATCTCACTCTCTCATCCTCGAGCTGTTGTGATCTCACTTCCTCGCCGTCGTGTTCTCACTCTCGCGCTGTTGTAATCTCACTCCCTCATCCTCGCGCTGTTGTGTTCACATTCCCTCGTCGTCGCGTTCTCGCTCCTTCGTTGTTGTAATCTCACTCCCTCGCCGTCACTTTCTCACTCTCGCGCTGTTGTGATCACACTCCTTCATCATCGCGTTCTCACTCTCTCGCTGTTGTTATCTCACTCTCTCATCATTGCGTTCTCACTCTCCTGCTGTTGTAATATCACTCCCTCGCCGCCGCGTGCTCAATCGCTCGCTGTTGTGATCTCACTCCCTCATCCTCTCTCTCTCTCTCTCTCTCTCTCTCTCTCTCTCTCCTCCCTCCCTCCCTCCCTCCCTCCCTCCCTCCCTCCCTCCCTCTCTCTCTCTCTCCCTCTCTCTCTCTCTCTCCCTCCCTCTCTCTCTCTCTCTCTCTCTCTCTCTCTCTCTCTCTCTCTCCCTCCCTCCCTCCCTCCCTCCCTCCCTCCCTCTCCTCCCTCCCTCCCTCTCTCTCTCTCTCTCTCTCTCTCTCTCTCTCTCTCTCTCTCTCTCTCTCTCTCTCTCTCTCTCTCTCTCTCTCTCTCTCTCTCTCTCTCTCTCTCTCTCTCTCCCCCTGTGATCTCACTCCCTCTCTCTCTCTCTCTCTCTCTCTCTCTCTCTCTCTCCCCCCCCTGTTGTGATCTCACTCCCTCTCTCTCTCTCTCTCTCTCTCTCTCTCTCTCTCTCTCTCTCTCTCTCTCTCTCTCTCTCTCTCTCTCTCTCTCTCTCCTCTGTTGTCTCTCTCTCTCTCTCTCTCTCTCTCTCTCTCTCTCTCTCCCCCTCCCCCCCTCGGCGTCGCGTTCTTTCTATCGCGCTGTTGTGATCTCTCTCCCTCGCCGTCGCGCTCATGATCCCTCGTTCCGTCGGTGTCTTAACGATTACGAGGTGACGCGAGTTGGCCAGCATACAGATGGCAGTCATCTCGTACTGATTTACTGCATCAAGATCCTCGTCAGAATAAACCCCTTACCGTCCGGACTTTAGTAATCACCGAGTCCACTATTTGTCTCGCCTGTTCCCTGATGAGGACATCATCATCCTGTCTGGCTTGTTTGCTGTCTCCTCCAAACAGCTTTCAATTAGAAACCAATCAAAACTTAAATTTACGTAATGGTAATAATATGAAGACAATGCACACAACATTTTGTAGTAGGAACACTTTCATAAAAATATTCTTAAATGTTTGAATATACAAAAACAGAGGAGAATAGTATCTTTCTTTTTTGTACGCAAAATTCAAATTTCTGATTCGCATAAGTTCTTCTTTTAATTTCTCTATGAAAAAAAAACATCTAGGAGGGGTGGGGGTTTTATTTTGTAATGACTGAAAATGGCGCGAGTTAGTTGTCAACGATGTCACGTCATGTCACGCCAGCTGTTATGCGTAGGGATTTGTTATAAAATAATCCTTGATGAAATTCTCAAATTTAGACATTGTGTGCCATTCTTGTTTTTGAAACCTTTCTAAGAAATTAATTATAACCTTTGATAGGATTTATTAAAAACTTTAATGCTGGTATGAAAGTGTGACTGATAATATGACTTCTCACCTCTTCCGGCGTTTCGTGTAAATCGTCTACAGCTTCATTAAGCATTTGCAGGAAGCCAGATGCAGATTTTCTCCCTGAAAACATCATCGTAAGTTCTGTACGCGTTATTACATCCGGCAGGTCACATTTATTATATAGAAATAATGTGTTACTCTCACAAAAACAAAAAAGAAAGTACCAACATGTCAACAGAATCTTTTTAACTCGAATTCGATGAAACTATGTCAAAATATGAACAACTGAAAGATTTAAATGGATACTCCTGGAAAAAAGGTACAAACAGAACATGCGTTGTCTTTCATTACATGTTTCAGCTAGAGTTACCACCCTCCGATAAGGGCCGGGAATGCTGCTTCGGTAATATCGCCCAGTATTACTTTCTCGGTGATAAACAATATGGTGTCGTTTGATACAGCGGAGAGTGTGGCATTACCTCGAAGAACATTACTGCCGTCCATTCTGAAAATGAGTCTGTTCATAGTATCCCCCAGATTCCACATACTTCTGAACCGAGCTCTTCTTGCTCGTCTCCTCTTGCCTACAACAAAAATTATACTCAAACCTGGAAAGAGGGCTGAAACTTGCTTTGGTTTGGAATGGAATTTGTAAGGAACGTGGTGTTGAAAAGACATTGTAAAGAATCTACAGGACCGACTAGTCCGATTTATTCTGACGTTTTATCGACTTTTATGTATCGGCTTGGAGTTTTACCGACTCAAAGTCGATAAAAACGCCAAAATATTTCGGATTAAGGACCGACATATCAACTTTATTTTATTTCAAAAGTTTCTTTCCAACGCTGCTAGTGGTAGTCTTTCGTCTAATCACCAGTTTTAGAAATAATGGCAATATGTTTGCTTTTCGAGATGTGTAAATAGAGCAGACATCACACACTGTATATGAAAATCGAGATGTAGAAGTCAAAACATTAGTAATTAAATGTAAACACGTGTATATATAAAATCACGTTACTGTCATTCTACAGAAATGCTACAGGGGACATTTAAGATTTTGACGAAATATTTAACCAAATTTCACTTGTAGATTTTCATTGATGCTGTCTTATCCATGTTTAGATTTGAGACCGATTAAAAAAAATAACTATTTCAAATTCGAACTTTTGAAAAAAAAAGTATAGGATCGTGTTTCATATGAATGATACAATACCCTCCCTCCAGGTACATTCCTTCGAAATTGAAAAAAATGAGAAGTTAAGAGCGTATTTGAGTAGCAAAATTAACGACATCTGTCCGTGAATTTACAATGTAGCCAATTTACAGAGTCTGATTCGGGCCAAGCCCCGCTTTCATGAATTACATATATTGTCCCAAGTCCGTCTGTTATTAAAGTGCTATACTTCAGTTCAGTATTATAGCAAAAATGGCCGGGCCCCCTCTGGATCCGCCAGTGGACACGGTTCGTTCCCTATATCAGTAAATCTTACTTTTTTTTTTTTATCTCTGAAGACCATTGTTACTTTACAAATATCAACTTATGTTGTACTAACCCTGATGCCGCGCCCAAGCTCTCAACTCTGCCAGAGCAAGTTTTTTTTCCAAACGACGGGCACACTTTTCCTCGCTTTCCGCCTTCTGCTTCCTCATAGTCTCCTTCATGGCGTTTAACTGTGCTGAAAATATTAAATCGCCTGTTTTCGAATTATGCTGCAACATCAATGAACAGTTTTTACAATTTTGTACCTGCAGTAACTATCCTGTTTCAAATGTAATGACACCCAATACGTACATAACATGCACCAAGCGGAGTCACGATTGGCTGGAGGTACCAATTGTTTAAAATGTAAATTATTACGTCACCAAAGAAAGACCGAAGGAGACTTTTTCTGCATGTGGAAATTATCTTTGAAAGCCAGAGCCTTATATTGTAAATCTTTGACTGTTAAGGTCAACAAACTTTCCTTCCGATTCGTTGAAAAATGTAGATTTGTAAAATATCAAAACCTTCTTGACGGCATTCAAAATTCTGCGGAAATATCATGCACCTGGTATTTCAAAAGACATATACTTGCAAAACAAAACCTACATCAAAAATAGCTGCAAAATGCACAGATGATTGTTCATTCCTTTTGCAAAATTGTTGTATACAATACCGGAGGTCAGGTCGTGGCAAACAATCGGAGGGTATCAAGCACCTACAGGGCATATGTTTATAAGGAAACAAGCTAAACCTTAATCTGTCGTATTTTCATAGCCCCCTTCCCTGTTACACACAGTGCGTTACTGGCTACCATCCTAGATAAGTTAAGGCTGTACACGTGCTGAAGAAATACAAATCGAACGGACTGTCGAGATAAAGTGTTTTTACGTACAGTTTATATGTCACGTTAGATATGAAGATGCGTTACATTTATATTTCTCACGGTCCAGTAAGTATATTTATTGCGACGCCATCTTTTTTATGTGCTGGAGAGTTAGAGAATTACAGAGACTGGACAGAGTTACCTCCTCTCCCAAATGAATTGACTTTAGTTTTTGATGGTCCGAAAACCGGAAGCGTTACTCCAATGGAGGAAAATCTCCTTAAACCAGGCCCTTGAAAGTGAAAAGCGACGGGGTGAACCAGACAAGTGGGGGAAACGCGATGAAATATAGTTTATATAATATTTCGTCAAGGTAACACATACTGGACGGGAGATGGCGTGTCTACGGCCATACAGAGCTTTGCTCGAATGCTGCAGCATAATATAACATATTATGGTGGACATCACCTGATGAACGTAGTTTTCTGATACCTTGTTATATGACACAATGAATTCTGCTTCATGCACTCGGTCATCACCTGTAATACGATTCCGTTGTTCCGCCAGCAAGCGTTCTCTCACGGATATATTTCTGTCCCGGCGTTCATTTTCACGTCGCAGGATTTCAGCTTCACGCTTAATGCGTTCCCTCTGTATCTGTTTACGAGTTTCCCACATCTCAAAGCTCTGAAAACGTGAAGTACAATCTTTACTGGTTATTCTCCACAATACACTGACCCAAATCGCTGCTGTAGTCAATTAGTGTGTCTTGTTCCTAAGATGTAGATGCATTATTGAAGTTGTTATATTTCTACGGTAATTTGTTTCCAAACACTTTCACGAAAAAGTATACATACTTAAATGTAAGAGGATATCCCTGTCATCATCTACATGATTGACTGCTCTGTTATTTTTTTTTTACTTTCTTGATATTGCTATTTATCGATACTGAGTGTTGATGCGGTCGTATCTCTGCGACCAGGAAGCAGCGACGCGACAACACCTACAGCTGCAGGAAGATTGTGGCGAATATGCTACTCACTAAAAACTAATTATCATTCAATAATTTTCATCCAAAATAACTGGAAGTTATGATGTGTCTCAACGCGGTTCTCAATTTTATTATTTTTATTTATTTATTTTTTTTCCGCTTGCTACTAGTCATATATATATTTTTCAAAATCACGTTTTCCTGAACAAACACTCGCCATTTTTTGTTCTGACCTTTTGTTTTGGTTTTTTTTTCTAATTACCTTCTTTTTCTGATCAAACATTCGTTGTTTTTTCTTCTCATCCATGCGTTTGATATGTTGTCGTTCACGAATCTTCCAACGCTGAATTAATCTTCGATTGCGTTTTTTCTCCTTTAATGAGATTCGCAGCAATTTTAATCTTGGGAATTTATGCGAGAGAAAAAAATGCTTATCAATCAACAGTATATAAGAATTATATTGTCAAGGTTACAGAAAACATTTACAATCATTCTTTTATTCTTTTACGGCAAATCAAATTAGAATTTACTCGATGATATAAGACGGTGAAATATCTTGTAAACATTCTAACAATTTGTTAATAGATATTTGGTTTCCTGACAATAAGATTGTTACAGATGGACTTCTTACAACGAAAAAATAATGAAAATAACAGATTGATGTTGCTCTCACTTATAATAAATCTGACAGGTATGACGTCATACCTGTAATTGATGTTGGGCGATGGCAGCATGACGCTTGCTTTCGTCCTGTTGACGTAACAGGTCGCGTCTTGTGTTCGCTTCCTGCATCTCTCCCAGACGGCGCTGCAATCGATCCGCCTTCTCCTTCAATAACTGCTCAATCCTGCAGGCAAGAAAAGCCATGAGTAAGAACAGTCAGAACACCCCATCATTATTAGGATACATGTGAGGAGTTAGCAGGAGTATTCAAATTTGAAAGTACATGAAGTTAAGTCAAGTCAAGTAAAATTTGAGAATTTGCTATTATTACTGAAAAAATCTCTCCAATGACGCATCTAGGTTTGAATAAGGAGAGAATTGTTTAATACACATACCAAGCTCCCAGTTATCAAATATCCGCTGAACTCGGGAGTTATCGGTTTCACAGCAACATCTATAGATGTCTTTATAACCTGTTACCAATCCAATACACCAATACTTATACCTCAATTTCTCCCAATGGTTTTGATTTCCAAACATCAGAATATCCTACCTCTGCCGTGTCCTCGTTCTTTGCTTATCTAGATTCTCTTGGACCTGGCGTATACGGAGGTCTGTTGGTTTCTCCTCTGTGCTGTCGGTAGTTTCCTTTTGGGCGTTTAGATATTCCTCTTTCTATGAATACAAAAATAAAAACGTAAAATCATCCAATTGGTCGGACAGTGAAGAAGAAGAAGAAGAAGAAGAAGAAGAAGAAGAAGAAGAAGAAGAAGAAGAAGAAGAAGAAGAAGAAGAAGAAGAAGAAGAAGAAGAAGAAGAACAACAACAACAACAACAACAACAACAACAACAACAACTAGAACACTCAGCACTTATGTGCACGATAATAGTGATGTCACTGAGGTAACTTAATTATAAATGCAGCTAGATATACCTCGATTCTCTGCTCCCTTGCCAACTCCATGAGACAGACCCTCCGGAGGTACTGGCGGTACCTGTTGAATTCCTTAAGAGTACAAACTACTTTGTTGTCGTCAGTAAGGAAATCATTCTTCAGCAGATGACGCCTCATCTGGGGCTGATTGAAGTGGTTCCGGAGGTGGCGGTCATGAAGTGGATGATAGTCGTTAGAGAACACGTGACAATACGGGTCACTGAGGTCAAAGTCATAGTGGCGAGAGGATTTGTGTTTCTGGAATATCAGAAGAAACAGAAGACAATAAAAGATAGATAAAATTTACATATCAAGACTTACTATTTTTAACAGATATAAGAGATGGTACATTTATTAGTTCAAAGAAGTATGAAGAAGTTGAAGAAAATGGGATAGATAGCTAAAAGGCATAAGTACAGACACTTCTTAAATTCTTATAATCAGAAAAAAAAAACATGTTTTCGATGAAAGTAAAAAGCTATGATGAAAGTTGGAAAGAGTTTCTAAACAGCAGGTATAGACAATATTTCTTTTTTTAATAGGAGACCACCTGGAAATAATTGTAAACTTAATAGAAATGTGCTATTTATCTATGTTTTTGGACAATCTTCGAGATTGCAGGCGGTAAACGCTGCTTATGGTAATTTTAAGTTCCCGATGTTTGCTATATCATGAATGCCACGTTTTGATTCATGCTAATCATGGCACGGTTCAGAATATACAGACATAGTTTGCATTCTTAAGAAAATATTAAAAATTTCGAAATGTAATCATTTTGCGTTAGTGCGCCTCCCACCTATCCGGTGTTTGACATTTAAATCAACAAGTATGTATGTTTCTCAGTCGCCCCCTGTCAAATAAGGCTTGGTGACAGGGGATATTGGGTTGAGAATCTGGTTAGTGTATTACAGTGTTTTATAGCAATGTACCCCCCCCCCATGTACAGGCTGAGGACAGAGGACATGAAGGCAAGGTTCGGTCAGGGTTAGAGGTTTACATTTTGGGACCTCGTCAGGTACAGGTGGTGATAGCAAGAGGTTCGAAGATGCAGTTTCCTATTTCATTCACAGGCTAGAAACAGAAGTTTTATTGTAGGTTAAAGTATTTGGGAGATGACTAAAGAAACAGATATTATAAATGCTAAATTTACGAAAATTTGAACTAACAATCCGAAATGCTTTACTCACAACACTAAATGACAGAAATTAATTGGTTGTTTCAATGGAAGAGATTCATGCCGCATAATACTGGATAACTTCCGATTTCTTACCGTTTGACAGAGATTAGTAGAACAAAACACCATAGATCCTTTTGGATTAGGGACCATTGGAAATTTGGCATCCAGTGGTAGGGTTGTCCAGGACGGCAAGCCGTCTCCTGCCGGTAAACATGTCTCCTTTTCCACTATTTTTGGACGTCTTGACAGTGACAATCGGTCCATGATGAAATCTGACTAGTTATGTAAGATCCATTATTATTGCGGTTGAAAAGATTCCACAGCGATTCCTTTGCCTCGCTTGAGATACCGTTGAATTATGACGTCACCATAACAATGACGTCACGATTAAGTTTTTCGGTGAGGGAAGGGTGGGGTTGGAAGAATAGCTTGGAAATTAGTCATCATCAATGTTAGCATAAAGATTTCGGTGTACCTAAAACGTTGATAGAAGTCAAATTTTATTATAAAGACTGTTGATAAAATGAAAATCCAGCCCAGAAGTTATTAACAAGATTTGGCCCAACTTACAGGTGATTAATGTGTCATAGACATCATGATATCAACCAGGCGTATATGAGTAATTATATTGATATATATATATATATATCTCACTCTGTCTCTCTGAATAAAAGTAATATTTGTGACAGTAAGACGGCGGTTTTATATCAGATTGTTGAAAGGAAGCCAGAACACATAGCCGGACAGAGAACTAAAACTATAGTTTTTGCTCTGTGTGAAGCCACTGTAATAACAGAAATGTAATATAGAACAATTTATCAGAATTGCAATTTCAGCAACAACTATCAATTTGTTTAAAAGTCGGTTAGATTAAAATTATATGTCTGGATAAGCATTTTTAAGCAACTTGTATTCTAGTCTTGGGCTAGTCATTTCGTTACACAGTAGTTTCGTTACATACAAACTAATTTTACACAATTAGAGTGTCATTTTGAGTGGACAGTTTTTCAGGAACGGAATTAGCAATATTTATTAACAACAAAACACCGTAAACCCCCAATTTAAATACATAAATAAAAACATGATTGAAAGTGTCGAAACTACTCCTTTTGGAAGTACCGAAACAACCTGGTACCGAAACGACTTTGCCCCAGAAGATCTCCGAATTTTTTTCTTTATCACATAGTTTCTGAGTTCCGTGCAGAGCACCAGAGACATGATACTGAATTCAAAAATCATATTCTCCATTAAAGCTTAGAAGATGTGAAATTAATTTTCTGAGAACTGTATTTTACTGAGAATGAGTGTGTAGTTAATTCATATAGCAAACATCTTGAACATAAACTGTGATTTCAAGAAACTTGCTATGAACACCGGTAAATGTAAGGGTTATTTCCCTTCGTCCAATTATTCCGGAAATGTGAATAACGTGCGGCAGCTGTGCTGACAGTTATTGAAAAACAAAGATGGCGACTGTGTAATGGAATCGGGAAACCTCGAAGCGATTTCCCGGTACTTTGTGCGATGTCTCGCTTGGCCGACTACTTTGTCGTGGTAGGATATGACCACGAGAAAGAAAGTAGGTTTATTATTCATAAATTGCATTTAATGATACTCTTGCCAATATGCATGCATGTTTTTAGTGAGGAAGGAAAGGGGGGGATGACGAACTCGTATAACATTTACCTTGATTACGGATGAAGTAGTGATTATAATATTGTGAATATCTACACATAAAACTACTTCTCTGATGAAGAACTTATTTACTCCTACTGAAGGGGCCTTTGATTGTTATTTCCAACATTCGATATTGTTACCAGACGAACTAGATCACTAAACCTATGTAAACAAACTTCGCCAGACACGAGGCAACATAGTCGGTCAGGTTTCAGACTATTTAGGGTAATTTTAACAATAAATGTGCATGGTATGTCTTTAATGACATACTGAAATAGTTATACCTGATATAAAGATTGACAACAGTCATAGCAATCATGATGTATCATTGATTTAAATGAAAAATTGATTATTTTGTCAATGACACTGACTGGTGGGCCAGTCTGTTCGGTATCAGTTCAAGCTTCCGTCATTCTATACCCTTCCGTCTCACATAAGTACTTTGGGTTTAATGTTATACCAGTGTCAACATAACCTCTATTCATCCTGAAACTGTCTCTGTCGGAATGCAATTGTCACAAATATGTTTATCTGTATTCCACAGTGATTCGAATAATGTTTTTAAAGATATTATATTTATTCCAATAAATGCCCTGGGCTGAGAAATTCTTCAAAGAGAGGGCACTTAATAGAACATAACATTTTGGAGTCAGTAGATTGTCAGATGCATGAATGGACCTGGTAATGATAAATGAAACAGGCTATAGTTAGCCTAGTTGTGTGTATATGTGTGACACATTGTAAACAAATCAACAAGCATTTTAATTTGGCCCTTGTGTATGAAATTGCAATTAAACATTTTGGCCCTTGTGTATGAAATTGCAATTAAACATTGTCATTTGTGCTTACATACGTATAATATACTCTTGACATGAGGTTGAGAGTGTATCAGGTTACAAAACAGTCAGGCCAACACCCATTACCAGTGACCCATCTGCCTCTCTACATACTTGTATTTCATAACAATTCAAAATATCATCAAAATTTAATCAGGCAATTTCAAAATATCAAGATTACCAAAAAATCATGTCAGAAGTAAAACAAAATAATAGTGAAAGTGATAACATATCCAGAAGTGAAAGGTAAACATGATTCTGCTGGTAACCAGTGAAGGATTGGTGTCAAAAAGAAGAAAAAAATTCTAAAGTACTGAGAGGCCTGCATGGTACTCAAAATATTTTCTGGAAGCTTAGCACTTGCTGTAGAAATGTAATGACAAGGGAAAGTGAAACCAAAAGTGGGAGCATTGATATTGATTACTGCTTATACAACAATCCCATCATTACTTTTTCAACTGAAGACAAAAGCGTTTGTAAATGCTGTGTTCATTGTGATTAAATCAAACATGTTCCATGTTGCCATGTACATATTGTGAAAATTGTGGGCTTTTGTACATGCACAGAGATTGTTTAACATCTTGTCAAATTTATTACTTGAGTGAGAAAAAATTATTCTTTTAAAGGAAGAAGCATTTATTAGGTACAGGGTGATTAATAGAGTAAATATGGTATGATTAACTTTTAATTAAATGTTAATTATTAGAAGAGATTTTCTTTTCAGTGTTAAATGAGATAATTTTGAAAAAGATACAAAACTGCCATTCATTGCATCAGTTGAAATTTGGAACTGTATTTCTATATGAACAGCTGCCATGGAGTAATTATTGGTCTGTGTATCATGTGGCCCATTTCAGCATCCTAAGTTCTCAGTCAATGTATATGTTAACCATAGTTTCTACACAAACTGTTTAAGTTTTGATTCATGAATTTTTCAATAAATGTTGCTGGATGAATTTACAAGAGCTTAGCCAGGGTCTTCACAAGTTGGTTTTGAAAAAAGATATGAAAATATAATTAAGTTGGGGGGAAAATATCTCACCATGATCATTGTGAATTGCTTTACTGGTACATTATATTACTAATGCTCCCCCTTTCAGGTGATAGGATGTAAAGCAATAATAACCTGTCAAAAATCTATAGGTGATAGAAACTTTGGACATGTTTTTAATGGTATGGGAGAATTTCAAATGTATGCTGTAAAAATCAGCCACCCTAAAATCAAATCATTGAAGGTTTAGGAAATTGTTTTTCAAAATTTCATATTTTCCCCATTTTTGCCCTATGACACTGCCTCTACCAACAACTACTTGACTCGGTCACCTCTGATGGTTTCTGGGTGGTAACTATAGCAAGTCTGATTGACTTGTGACATCACATACAAGTGACCTCTTTCTAGTAGTCACACTGACAGTATCAGCTAGGACTTGTACCCTGCCACGGACCGATCACACTGCCTATGAAATGCTATATTTTCAGATGTTTTGGTATACATATTTGAAGAATAAGGAGGCTGTTGTCAGTGGCATCTTTCTTCAGGTTTAAGTCTTTCAAACAAAAAGATCATATCATGAACACTACTTTCAAGAAAGTGTTTAACAGCATTTATGTGAAATGTTATCAATATGCTGTTCAAATCACATATGTAGACCAAAAGGGATACTTTAGACTGACTTTGTTTGAAATTTTTGGGAAGGTCTTCCCTTAAAAAAGTGTTTGAGCAGGTTGTTTCATGTAGTTAACCAACCTCAAGAAGCTTTTGACTATTTTGAAGTTGTAGTATTGATATATGAAGTACTAAATCTGTTGGGCCCTGATGGGGTGGTCAGGATTTATTGTGGAGTAGTTGACTGTGTAGCTTTTATACAAATTTTAGTATCTTCAGTTAATTTTTTCAGTGCAATTTAAACTGCAGGAGCTGTGTTTGATTGACTATTTACATAAAATTGGTTTTCAACTAAACTGCTTATTTATTTGCTACTCGCATTGGTCATTCATGATCAACCATGCTTTCTCTTTTTTTTTCCTGCATGAATCAAGGGAGGTAAACAGTATATTGCTATTATTTTTAGGTATCAGGATACTAATGACCAACAAATTGGTGACTTGTCTGAGATATTTTTGTGTTTTATAATAAACTTTTTCTGAATTCTTATATCAGTCTGGCGTTGGTTAAGCTGCTGATGCATAAGTCAGCATTCAAACAATAATTGTAGAAACAAATTGCTATTTTCACATGCATGGTGCACACAGATTTGTGTATTATGTAGACCAGCAGGGTTGCCCTAGGTATGTACACTTTCAATATATGTTTCATTATTTCATCCTGTATTTTGCCTCTCAAAAAATTTTTATGGACTATTATAGTATTGCATTGTCCTTTGTTCATCTCTGAAAAATTTTGATTAACCGCAGACCTCTTCCCACAGTTTTCAATCAATCTCTTTCCATCTTGGTAGGCTTTATAACCATGGCGTGAGGTTGTGTTGTCCTGAGTACGTTTTGATTGGATTGTTGGCTTGACAAGTTTTGGAAGAGTCATTCCCCTTGACTCATTTTGGCATTTTTATACTGTCTGGGACCGATTTGTGTAAGGCTGTGATATACTGACATAAAGTTGTATTTTTCCACTGGCATTAGACTGGTATTGTTTCAGTTCTTTATTTGTACTCATTTTGATGCAAAATATATTTCTCTTTTGCATGCGACAGATATGTTTTTTTTTCAGTCCCGCAGTACTCTTCTTCTAGACATTTTGTACCATGTGTTATAGACCCATTCCCAATTGAAAATAGTGTTTTGTTTCCCCACTTTAACCTGAATTTTCCCAATCTGCTAATTCTTTGTGTGAAAAATTTTAAAGACTTCTAATTTTCTGTCAGTTAGTCCCGTGGCAATTGAATGAAAAAAGAACAGGTACTACGAGTGCACTTAAGTCATAGATCTACATTTACTATGTAATGAGTGCAGGAGTATTCTGACTAGCCTAGATCTTACAATAATAATATCAGTCCCAATTTCATTGATCACTTTCAGAAGAAAAAAAATAAGAGATGATCTATAGGAGTAGAGATATCTCCGATGTGTATAGTGGTGGATAGATTAGTCTTGGTGAATGAGAAAAGATCCTATAAAACATAACTTTAAAATTGCTTGTATTTATGGAGTTTGACATTTTGCCAATTGAATAAAACAGAAATGCCACTGATGCTTTTTTTCAAATTTGTTGTAAACTTTCGACAGGTTTCTCCATTTTCAGTGCAGGGTTCCATTCCAAAAATAACTGGCAAAATCTCTGTTTGGTTCATGGCCCATTATGGTGTAATGAAAGCTAGCCAATACAGCAACGGAAAATTGCTTACACATCCATAATTTATCATCGGTTTACCATTTGAATCCGATAGGCTTCCCGAGGTAGTTAATTGATTACATAATGGGCTGACTGTATGTTCAATATTGATAGAACTGAAAGTGAATGCATTACCCACTGCAGTAATACTTAATTTTATGTAACTTTAATCTTTGATATCTCACTTTGGGATCTCTCGGAGCAAGATACATAGATTTTACCTGTGTTTTGCTGAAAATCTCATTGAAATTCTCCAGTAAGATTAGTTGCTCAGAAGTTGGATTATCTCTGCTGACTGGAAGTTGAGTAAGAATAAAATGTGTCTGCAAATGCATTCTTTATTATAGGTTATGAAAACAGAATCATATGAAACAAGAAAACACAGCCAATGCCAGTTCAAAGGTTGGCCATGGGTTGTTCAGTAGGTACCTAAGCTACAATACCTGAGTTTGGTCCTGAAGAAACCTCTACCAGAGAGACGAAACTAATTGACAATTAAGTCCAGTATCAAATTTACAGGTGATGTTTGAATATGTTACAATTGCTTCTACCAGTTTATATAGGAAACTATCAGGGTAGAGATGATTGACTTTGAAAAATTACTTAAATCGTTGTCTCAGTTGAAGTCATTACATTGATACATGGTTTTCCTTAGAACCGACTCCCAATTAAACTGACTGTCTAAAGTGATAATTTGGTCCCTTAAAAATTTTTCAG